TTGTGAATAACATTGGTTTAACCTGAAATTTAAAGCCAGCATTTCTTTGCTCCCTGAGACGGGGCTTCCTGCCCCTTGCTCCCCTGAAGCCAGCTTCCAGAATGTTAATTCTAACAGCCATGGTTGGCTGAGCCCAGCACTGGGTCTGTTACATATTATTTGATTTGGAGCAGGAAAAAAAAAAAGATTTAAAGATCCCATGCCCTGTATACCTTTGTGCTTTTGCCCGTGTCTGTCCATATATTTAAGCATAGCATTCGCACTGCAAGTGCAGAGCTTTCTCCCTGGAATAAAATGGGTCTGAGCGTTTCTGTAGCCTGTCTCCATGACCACATTCCCTCATGGAGCCAGACGGCATCTTTGTGGCACAGACGAGAGAGGCTGCGGAAGCTTCCGTCGAGGCCCGGAGGCTTGGACCTGTCCCCGTGCAGGGGGAGCTGGTCCTTCTTTTTGCAGCTGTCCCTGAGCGTGTAATCGGCTTGTTGGCCCGTGCTCAGTGTGCACCCACTGTGTGCGGCCCCAGAGGCAGGTCAGCCGTGTCCCTGCTCTGAGCACCACGCGCCTCTTGTCAGAGTGTTCATCTTGCTCCACACTTGCACCCTTACTGGTCTGATTAGTTGTCAGCCGACGTTTGCCTCTTCCCCTGGACGTGACTCCGTGAGGACAGGGCCGGGCCGGCTTCTGCCCATCGCTGTGTACCGGGTCTTAGCACAGCGCCTGCTCACTGCGGTCGATTGAGGGAAGGATGAATGGATGAACGAATGAGGTCAGGGATCCTGACATTTGCAGACCAGACTGGCGGAGTGAAGGTGGTTGTCACAGGGGTTACTAATTTGTTCAGTTATTCCACAAATACTCCCTGTGGAGGAGGCAGAGATGAATTAACTGCGGTTTCCCCTAAGGTGGCTAACAGTGCAGTGTGAGAGTGAGGGTCTAGGGCTTGCCCCTTAAGGTAAGAGGGGAAGTGGTCCGAGGGAGAAGCGGCTGGGACGTGGAAGGGTCCTGGAGGAGGCACGCTGCGAGCTCGCAGGCTGTCTGTCTCGGCAACAGCACACGCGTCGGTGAGGGATGCTTGACCCTCCACAGGGCACGGCGGGTCACCTGTGGCCCACAGGCTGACCCCATGTGTCACCATCAAACGCCCACAAATGCAAAATTCATGTTGCCAGCCCCTAGTCCTTCCAAAAAAACTCTGCTTGGGATCAGGGTTTAGAAAGCGTGGCCTGATCTAAAGCAGCTAGCGATTCAGACCCTGGGACTGAGAAATGTGGAGGACGACTGCTTGCCCAGCCCCCTCCTGTGGCTCCCACTGCTGCCCCAGTGAGGCTCAGATCCTCTTCGTGGCCTCCCGTGGCCTCTGTTGCCACCTGGCCCCACTCCTGCCTGCCTCTCCAGTGTCCCCTGGGCTGTCTTCCCGGCACTCGCTCTGTTCCTTTCGTCTCCTTCTCCTCTCCAGGCCTTTGCCGGGCAGCCTCACCTGCCTGGCACACGCTCTCCCCACACCCTCTGTGCCCTGCTGACCTCTCCTCTCCTCTCAGTTTGTGCCCGAGTCCCTTGGAAGACCTCCCGACTCCTGCCCGTGAGGCCACCCCCGCCCTGTCATATGCAGTCACGGGTATATATTTCTAGACGCTTCTCCGTAGTGGCCATCACAGTTTCTAATCCTGCGTCAGTTTGTGTGCGTCCTTAGTGAAAGCGGCCTGCCCTTTCCAGACTGAAAAGAGGGGCCTGTCCCGGGCATCACTGTATCTTCTGTTTGTGTTTTTTTTTAAATATTCCTTGGTACAGAGTAAACGCTTAATCTGTACTTGTTAAGTGAATGAATAAGTGATTACAGGTTTAGGAGTGTCCGAAGCCTTCTTAAGGAAATGGCAGACCGCTGGCCTCTGTGGGGATTCAAGGGAGGACTTCAGCTCCCGCCCCAATGGAGGAAGCAAGTGGAGTTGCTGGCGGGGCCCAGAGCTGCGGGGGCCGCTGCTCAGGGCTGGTGCCTGGAGAGGTGGCTCTTCCCAGCTCGCAGTCCTCCACTCGGAGTGTCTGGGTCACCGAGGCAGCCTGGACACTCTCACAGGCTCAGCCCCTGGGGGCTGTGGCTGATGTTCAGAAAGCCAGAGCAGGAGACAGCAAGTTTTCTTCCTGCAAGACTTGGCGCAGGTCCCAGCAAGACCCCCTGTGCTCAGAGTGTGTGTGGCGTCCTCGAGGGGACAGGCCTCCAAGGACCCCTAGTGTGTGCGCTTGAGTCGGCCGTGTGCCCTGAGACTTTACTCGGTGGTGGGCCCTGCTTGGTGACCGGTGACCTTGCCCGCAGGAGCCCTCAGCAGAGCCACCCTCTCCAGGCGTTTTCCCTGGAGGCGAAGTTCTGCCCTGCAGAGTTCTGAGCTGTGGAAGGAGCCTGGCCTGTGAACCCCATGGCGGAGGGATCGAGACTGAGGGCAGCTGTGGGGATGGCCCGGCTGGCAGGGAGAGGCCTCCTAAGGGGCAGAGTTGGGCGTGTCTCACCGGGCAGCCCGAGTGGGAGGGAGGAGGTGGGCACGGCCCAACGCGGGGCGAGGCGAGGGCTTGGTGGGGGTCGTCAGGAGCCGGCTGACAGGAAGGAGCCTTCATCAGGAGTTTGGGGCCTGGCTGGCAGGGTGGGGCCAGGGAGCATCAGTGAAGTTGGTGGAAGAGAGAAGTCTCTTACAAGTGGATGTGGTTTCTCTGACAGGGAGAAACAGGGTGGGGACGCTTGGCCCCCAGGCCAAGGGCACACTTTGGCAGGAGTGACTGGGGCCAGGATGACTGGCCAGAGCAACAGCTGAGGAGGAGCAGGAGCTGTCTTCCCTCGTGTGTGTGCATACATAGTATCTCTGATAAGAGGGTCGTTCGGTGGATGCCAACCAATGGGAGAACCGCAGGGCAGACACAGGCTGGGCTGTGAGCTCCCACATCCTGCTGGTCTTCGGCCCTTGTAGGAACGGGCCTGGGGATGGGCCATGAGGGAAGAAAGGCCTCTAAGGGTGATGTCTCACGGCCAGGAGCAGGGACCTGTTTCGTGGGAGGCTGGTGTCACAGGCTGCTGGAGGAGGGGCCCGAGCTCGAGGCTGGGGGACATTGGTCAGAGAGAGCAGCTCCCACCTTGGCCCATGCATTGGGGTATGTGGCCGTTCAGGCTGTAGCCTAGCCTATGGTTCCTCTTGAGTCAAAATTGATCTGGGATCCATTTCCTCAAGGGGCTCATGAGCTGCCTCTGAAGGCCCTTCCCGTCGAGCATGCTGGGGTGCCCTGAGCTGTCAGCCTCCACCGGGGACTCTGAAAGGCCAGCACTCATAGGACCACCCAAGGCTGGCATCTTTGCTCCGATGTCAGACCCTCCGTGCAGTTGCCTCCAGACAGGACAGTTGGGGAGACACCAACTTTTGGCAGCATCTCAGTAACATGATATCCCACTGCTTCAGGCTCCTTGGTTCGCCTGCTTTCCTCTCCTGGCTAGGGTTTGGACGTGCTGGATGGAGTTGAGGGCAGCAGTGGGGTGGGGCCACTTGTACAAAGGGGGAGGACAGGGCCAGGCCTTGTGTTGGGGCACCAATCAGAGCGCAAGGTGATGCGTGCTGGTTCTCTGGGGCTTCCCAACGGCAAAGGCAGAGGTCCGGGTTCTGGCAATGTCTCTGGTCAGCCCTGCGTGAGCAACTCAGTCCTAGGGGGCCCGGGGGAGTGATGGCTCTTGAGGCCATTTCCTCACTGGAAACTTGTGCCCTCCTTGCTTTCTCTCATTTTGAACGGTTCAAGCCCAAGTTTCACAAAAGACATTTTGTCCCATTTCTTTGTTATTGATAATTCGTAATATTCTCTTTGAAATGTAAGCACCATCACCAGAGACTGTTACAGTGTGAATAGCTAGTAATACGGAACACAGAGAGAACTGAATGCTGTACTTTCTTGGCAATTAATGTGTTTGAATAGGCAATCCATTCCAAGTTCTGAAACAAGCAAAACGGAGCAGCTGTGAAGAGCCTGCCGCCCTCCCTGGCCGGCGGCCACTGGGCGCTCCTCGCGTTTCTTGCCGGAGGTCCTTGGGTGATGATAGGTGTGTGTGTCCAAAATGCACATGGAGCCCTATTTTCTTCCTTTAGTACACAAGAATCTGTATATCGTACACGCTGTGACGTACCTTGTTCACTGATTTTTCATTTACCAAGGTCTCTCGAAGATCTTTCCACATCGGGTCACGAGGAGGTCCTCTCCCCTGCTCCTCGGTGAGCGTGTGCCACCACTTACCAGCCAGCCCCTGCCAGTCACCTCTTGGGTAGTGTCCAGCGTGTTGGACGAGAACTTTGTACAAATGTCGCTTCCTGTATGTGTAGGTCTAGCGGTAAAATAAATTCCCGGAGGAGCAATGGCTCTGCCGAAAGGAATATGCTTTTGTGATCCTGAGCGACTTCGTCCAATTGTCCCTCGTAGGCGTGTGACCAGGCGGCTCCCAGCAGAGCTAGCTGAGAGCATGTTTCCCTGCCGCCTTCCTGACCCTGCGCTTTATCGACTGGTCACAGCGTGTGGCGGCACCTGTCCCTGGGAAGGGCGTCAGCTCTGGGACAAACTGCACCTCCAAGGGGAGTCTTCAGTGTAGGCGAGACGGTGGCATCTGGTGATTAAGACTCTGAGTCACCCTGAGCTTCAATCCTCAGGCAAATCAGTTAATCTCTGTAGGCCTCAATTTTCTCATCTGCAAAGTGGAGGAATCATGTCATCGCCTTGGGGTCACTGTGAGGACTGGCAGAGACGGTGCATGTAAAAGGGGTTCACACGGTCCTTGGCTGGCAGCTATGGGGCTGGCTCTGCACTAACCAGCAGGGCCACCTTGGCTAAGGACCACCTGGCCTGAGCCCCCGTCTGCTTCCTGTCTTGTCAGGGAAGGAGCTGGCTCGTGGCTCTCTAGGGGCCTCTTCCCAATCTTAGTGTCCGACACCTTTGCTCAGCACCTCGTGTCAGCTGCACTCACCCTTGCTCTCTTGTGCTCGTCAAAGGTGTTCCGGAGTCCCCGGTGCCCAACGGCCACTCCCTGCCGGGCCGAGACTTCCTCCGGAAGCAGATGCGAGGAGACCTGTTCACGCAGCAGCAGCTGGAGGTGCTGGACCGCGTGTTCGAGAGGCAGCACTACGCGGACATCTTCACCACCACGGAGCCCATCAAGCCCGAGCAGGTATGAGCCCGCTCAGCCCCCGCAGGCCGGGCCTGAAGGCATGAGCGCCAGCGCACGGCAGTCACAGCCACACGGCCAGGAGGGCTTGTCTGGGCTGGAGCGCCTTCTTGCTTCTTGCCCTGCTGCCTTTGTCTCTGGCCAGCCGGTGGGGTTGGAGGGATGACTCCATTGGCTGCTCTGCCACTGCTGGCGGCCGGCCTTTCCCAGGGCTCTGCGCACGGGGGTAATGATCTGGGTCGCTTGAGGCTGTCTTGGGTCATCATCCTGTCAGTCAGGATGAAGGTGCAAATGTGTCTGCACCTGCGGCCGTGAACCATGTCATGATGGTGCTGGCGTGTACCCTGCTGTCAGCCCTCTCTCAGGTCACCCGGTCACGCTTTTAGACACTGAATCCAAGAGTCTGGAAGTGAAGAAGGGACTCGCTGGACAAACTCCCAGCTGGGTCATTTGCAAGAGGGGGAAGGAGGCAGGAGGAGGACCCCTTGCTGAACAGCCCCCTGCTCTGCCCCGGGCAGAGAAGCAGTCGCTGCCTGTGGCTGCAGAGGTGTGACCAGGCAGTCTCTGCCCAGTGAGAGGCTCTGGGGGTCCGGATAGGCCCCCGGAGGACCAGATTCAATTCGGGAGACTATTTCCTGATGCCCAGTCTGTGCTGGGCCCTGGGGGGTCACCTCACAGGCCTGGGGGGCTCAGACATGGTTCCTGCCTGCCACGAGCTCTGAGCGGTGGGCGAGTCAGAGAGGCCTGTGAGCAGTGACATCCCCCAGCACGTTGCTGGCTGGAAGTGGTGGTGAGGCCTGGCCTCGCTGCGCGTCCCCTACATCCTAATTAGATGATGCTTCTGAAGTTCTCCCAAAGAACCACTCAGAACCACGTAGGCTGCGCACCAGCTCCGTGGAGAGGACAGGTGCAGCGGGGACCTTGGGTGTGAGGAGTGAGTAAGGCCTTGGGGGCCACCATCCTGTGACAGTCTCGCTGTCTCTGAGCAGTTGCTATGAGGGCTTTCACAGACCATCTAGCTGCTTTGCTTTCACATGGGGAAACTGAAGCCCAGAGAGGCAAAGAGACTGCCTAAGGCCATGCAGCAAGTTGTATATTCACTTAACAAACATTGGTGAGTGTCTACTACATGCAAGGCCCGGGGCCAGGCACTTGGGGCATGTGAGTGAACAGGACAGGCCTGGCCTTTCCTTCAAGGAGACTGCAGAGGTGGGGAGAATCACATAAATGAGAATCACCAAGAGTCGTGGGGTCCAGATGTGCTGGGTGCTGAGGAGGAGCTGTCTGAGAGTGTCTGAAAGCAGAAAGCAGAAGCTGAGCCAGCCTGGAGGCCCCGGCAGCATCCTGGGGAAATGCATTTATGCTGAGCCCTGAAGTGTTGGGCAGAACCGGGAGCAGGGAGCTGGGGGTGAGAGAGTGTGCTGGCAGAGGGAAGAGCAAGTGCAAAGGCCCTGAGGCAAGAGCAAGAATGGCAGGAGCTAGGAAGAGAAAGAGAGCTGTGTGGCTGGGCTTCAGGGACTGGGCTGGTGGGAGGCTAGGAGGTGACATTGGGAGATGGGCCTGGTCCAGTAGACTGGACTCAGGACTTTGGTCTTTCTCCTACCAGTGGAGTGAAGCCTCCTCTGGGAGTAGTCCTACTTGCTGATCCCGCACCCTCCAGACCCTGGGCTTTCTAGAGAAGAGTCTGTCTCCGTGGCACACAGCCTCTCCCACTGCTCAGAGCCCTTCTGGGAGAGGGCCGGAGACTCCTTCCATCTGACCCAGAGGAGAAAGGAAAAGGACTCAGTGAGGAAGACCTCCCTGCTGACGCCTACCTTCCTCTCCAGAATCTGTCCTCTGAAGGTTGACAAGATCACGTAATTTCAAAGCCGGCAGGGCCTACAGAGGCAGCCTTTCAACCCTGTCATTTTTAAGAGGCCCAGAGAGGGGACAGGTTTGTCTGAGGTTACTCAGCAAGAGAGGGCCGCCTCTGCACCCAGCCCTGCCTGCCCCGCGACCTCTGGCGTTTCTGTTAAGCCCTTATTCACTAGTGCAGATGCTCAGGTTAGAGACTGGTTCACGAAATTCTCGAGGGAGCGCAGATTCTGTACCACAGCTCATTTAGCTTCGAGCGCCCAGAAAGATGGGGTGGAGCCTGGGCTCCCTGACCGGGAGGCGTCCAGAAGCCCCCCGTGTATTCACGCACTTGCTCACACACCCCTGTGCTCCCTTGTCCAACAGATTTCTTGCACGATGGCTGTGAGCCTGGCCCAGTGCCCCGCATGCAGGGAGGGAGGGATGACGGGCACCAGCTCTGCCTGTGGTCTCAGGGGTCGTGTGACATGGATTCAGAACCTGCAAGGTAGGGGAGAAGGTTCCGTGGGCCCTGATGAATGGACACGCTGCCTCGGCTGGGGCATCAAGGAAGATGTTCCAGAGGAGGCGAAGCTGGGGACAGGTTGCACAGGCCCGTACAGAGAGGGGCCTGGAGGGGAGGAGACCTGCATCACACACTGTGGGGGCTCGTGTCTAGCCGTCTCGCTGTGCAGTGTCCTTCAGAATGAGGCGGACGCAGCCGCCGGCCTGGCCGTGACGGTGCGGGCTCCGCGTGGGGCCTGCAGAGCACCTCGGGGCCGGATAGTGACTGACTCAGGGCTTTCTGGTTAATCTGCTTCGCCTCCCCGGAATGGGCGGTAATGAGGAGAGATGGGAGGTGAGGCTGTCGGGCACACACGGGCACTGGACTATGAATGACACACCCTCGCTCCCATCCCCAGTCACTCTGGACAAATGGCGGTCCCAGCCAGGGGCGCAGGCTGGGAAGGGCTGCGCGTCAAGGGTACAGGTTCCTTGAGCTCCCTCATGTTCGCTCTCGGCCTTGCCTTGTGAGCCCCAGAACAGCGCAGCAGGTGCCGGGAAGGGGGCCTGGAGCAGGTCTGTGTCTCCATCCATGGTCTACTGGCCTTGCTGTCAGTGTCACTGAGCGGCCTGGTGGGAAAGAAAGAGCATTTAGTGGCCTTGGAGTTGGCGTGTTTGACTTGAGTCCCGGTCTGCCCTGTTAGGCGAGTGGCTTTTTCCCGGGACCTCAGTTTCCACATCTGTGGCAGTGGTAATTGTGATTTTGACGACACCACCACCAGCAGCACAGCAGCGACCTGACAGTAACGACAGAGGTCTTCCTCGCCTGTGCATGCAACTGCACGGTTTTCTGAGATCTTTCATCCATTGTGCTCTCAATGTAAATGCCCGCTACGCAGATGGGCAAGACTCGTGAGTCCCATTTTACAGACCGGAGCATTTTTCTTCCCACTGTTCACCCCATTTTCAGGCCCAGGGAGCTTCTGGACCTTGTCGGGGCTGCAGAGCTGGACTTTGACCTCCTGACGTTCTGTCTTCACCTTGTGGGAGATGGGTACAGGGGCCTCCACGTCCGGAACAATTCTAGGAGCCCGTTTTCTGACTGGCTGGTTTTCAGAAGTGGCTTTGCAGCCAGAGCCCGCCTGCCATTCCAGAACCCTTGGAGTCTTGCCTAGGCTTGGCGTGGCCCAGGCCTCCCAGGCACCTGCCTGGCTGCCCAGGGAAGAGCGTTCCTCTCCAGGGCCAGGCTGTGGTCCTGCCAGGCCCTTGGCTAGCGCGGAGCCTCCCCCACTTTGTCGATTTCCCCGCTGAGATCTGCCCCGGGTGGGTGGGGCCAGGCTTCCTGCTTTTGGACAGAACCTCAGTGAGCCTTGGCCCTGGGTGGAAGGGGTTAATGTATACACACTCCTGGGGCGATGAAACACTTCCTTTTCAAAATGGTTATTGAAAAAGCAATTCTGTTTTCCCTACATGTGGAGTGAGTAAAAATCACGTTGGAGGAGAAGAGGAAAAAAAAAAGGAATGACTGCCGGCAGTGCGCGTGTTTCGACAGTGGATCTGTTTCAGTGAAGTCGCACTGCGCTGTCGCGCTGGGGACGGGCCACGGCCGCCCCGCACAGCCGCCGTATTTACTCTCAGCAGACTATTAACCAACACCAGGCTATTAATCTGGCTTTTGAGCCTTCACTAAAGCCCATAAAAGCTCACAGTTGTCAAATGGAGTTCATTTTAATTTCCTTTCAATCACAGTAAATTATTCAGGTGATAAATCAGCTGGAGCGGCCTCCTGGCTGTAATAGGAACCCTAATTCCTGGCTAATTATCCAGCCCATTGCTGCCAACAGATCAATACGGTGCGAAATGGAACGGCCTGGGCCCTCCCTCCCATCGGCCAGGGACAGAAAGACAGCTGGGGAAGGGGGTCGCGCTGCTGACCTCCCAGGAAGTTCAAAGGTCACAGGGGGTTAAACCGGGAGAAGGCCCTGCCCTTGTCTAACAGGGGCCCCAGGAAGGCCTCCTGCTCTGGAAGCTGCTCTGCCCTTGCCCCAGGCTGCTGCGCCTGCGCTGAGCGTCACCCGCGTCAGGAAGGGGCTGGGCTGTGTTTCGCAGCACTATTAAGCTTGGTCCTCAGGGTGACTTGAACACCATCTGAATCAGAAAAGGAGCTGGGACTGTTGGGGAAAAGATGAGGGGCCAGTCCTGCTTCCTTTCTTCAGGGAGCTCATTCTCCTCTGTAGTGGGTCTGTGCCCACCACGGCGGGGGGAGGAGGGGTGCGGTAGGGAGAGGAGGGGGTAAGGAAACAGGTGCGCCAGGCTGAGAAAGGGGGAAGGCTTCCTGGAGGAGGTGTCATTCGTGCTATGCCTTGAGGGAAGGGCAGAATCCAGATGTGTGGAGATGGTAGCGAGTCAGCAGGAGAGGGCCTTCTGGGCGGCAGGAACAGCATGGGGGAAGGGATGAAGACTATGAGGATGGCAGGGACCTGCAAGCTGGTCTGCGTGGTTGGCAGGTAGGGTGAGGGAAAGGCAGTCAGGGACGACGAGGCTGGAGAAGCAGCAGAGGCCCCAAACCCCGGGGGGCCGGCATGTGGAGGTGAGGAGGTTTGGCTTTGCCTTGGGGACAGTGTGCCCGAAGGGTCCTGAGTCTGCCCACCTGGGAGCAGTCTTCC